GCTATCATGAAGGCGAACGGTTGGAATAAAAGTCAGGCCATGACTGCTCTCACCCTAGGCTTGCGCGACTAGGCCTTAACTGTTCTGGAAGCTCGCGGTAAGGAAGTGACTTACGAGCAGCTCTTTGAGGCATTGGAGGCGAGATATGGTGACGCTCACATGGAACACGTCTTTCGTGCGCAGCTCAAAGATCGCGTACAACACAGCAACGAAAACCTGCAGAAGTGGGCCCTTGAGGTGAAGAAGCTGGTTCGTAAAGCATACCAGTCTGTACTTGCGCTCATTGTAGGGAACCTGGTGCAGACATTCATCGACGGCATCCGCAACCTTGAAGTCAGAGCTGCTGTGAGGCTGCACGAGGCGCTTAAGGAGGTGCTGGCCTATGCACTGGAGGTGGAAGCCGTGTGGCAGGATCATCGTTCCCATCGCGTCAGGGAGGTTTCAGCAGCTCCAGTTCGCGACCGCAATAAAGGATACAGCCCTAGGTGCTACGGCTGTGGGGAAAGGAGTCATCTTCGATCCAGCTGCCCTAAGCGAACTGTAGAAAGGGGAGGTCACCGATCTCGAGAGGGTAGTGTGGCTAACAGCACCGCCCAGCAGCAGCAGGGAAACTGGCGGGTGCTGACTGATGTTAGAAGAGGTATTCCTAAGATTGTCTATGTGGATCGACTGGCGCGTTATTATGGGGCCAATAATGCTCGGGACGAGCATGTCTTAGGAGGAGGCAGTGTTGCGCACCACTATTAATGTCTTGTACATGGCAACACTAGTTACCACGAGCGCCCTCTAGTGTCGAGTAGCAGAAGTAGGAGAGTCAAGATCCTTCTATAAATTTCGGGACCGATATGTACTCGAACATTCTAGATGTTGCTATAGTAGAAGGTTCTAGAAACTATCTGAGGCCTATATAAGGCCGGTATAGACCACGAACGAATGAGTATTAAATTGGCGATACAAGCGAATACTTCGAAGCGAAATAACTGCGAACTAAAGTGATTAGTGTTATATTATTAGTTTGTTATATTATTCGTATGTGTTTTATTATTAGTGTGGTTTTAAATTGTAATTAGTGTGCTGTAATTAAAGTGTCAATTTTAGTAATTCAATCGGCAGTTTTTAATTGTCTCGAACCCCAAGCTCGTACTCTCGTGCTCGTTTATTCCTGTATAGGACAGTTACTATACTCTTTGGCTTGACCACAATTCCACCTGGTGGTAAGTAGTGATGCAGTCTTAAATAGTAAATGTTGCGTTATTACTTAATTTTTGTTAAGTTTTTATTGTGGAATTTTAGTTTTCGTTGTGAACTTTTGTTAATCATGCCTGGGTGAAAAAAAAACTGTGCTTAACAGTGAAACGCGTGAGTTTGCAATTCCCTTACGCGATTATATTGAGCGTGAGTGTCAAAATGGCGGACGGTTATTGATATTGTCTCAAGTGTGGCAACGTGTAGCTGACGCTTTAGGAATTGGATTAGCTACTGTAACACGTATATCGACTGAAAAATTTAGCACAGAAGGTGATGAGGAGAATAAGCTATCGACTCCTAATAAAAAACGAAACCGTATCCAACCTACAGTGGATATTGACGATTTTCAATATGCGGCTATACGAAACCACATTTATAGGTATTATCCAAGGAAAGAATTACTCACACTTGACAAGTTGTTGGAAACATTAAGAGAAGCTGGTTTATATGACGATGGTCGAACCTCGCTGGTAAAACTATTAAATAAAATTGGTTTTCATTACCAAAAATCACACAACCGCAAGATCTTTATGGAAAGGAACGATATTTTAACAAAAGCTAAAAACATTTCTGATTGGGAGAAGGTTGTGTTTTTAGACAAACGTGGTTGAATGCCAATCACAATGTGAAATAAACATGGAACGATGATACGGCCCAATCATCCACAAAAGTACCAGAAGGAAAGGGGGAGAGGCTAATAATTTGCCACGCAGGTACTACCAAAGGTTTTGTGTCAAACTGTTTACAGGCATTTAAATCCAAAAAAAAACTAACGAAGACCACGAAGAGATGAACTTCGAAACTTTTTCAGAATGGTTCTATAAAATGATGGACAACCTGGACGGTCCTCATGTAATAATAATAATGAATAATGCATCCTACCATTCCACGAAGCTTGACAAGGCTCCGGCGACGCAAAAAAAGCCGATATAATAGAGTGGCTCATAATGAAGAGCGTAAATGCCGATATGACAATGCACAAGTGCGAACTGCTTGGACTGGTAGCCACACACAAACCAAGGGAGCCAGTGTATTTGCTGGACGAAGTAGCAAAGCAACGTGGTCACACAGTTATCAGATTGCCACCCTATCACTGCCAATATAATGCTATAGAACTGATATGGGCACAAATAAAAAGTCAGTGATAATGCGTAAATATTTTTTTTTCATAAATACTATAACATATATTGCATTAAATAGTATTACATACTTTATTCATCACTTATTTCGTTCACAGGACATGCAGCACGCAACGACACATCTCATCCTTTTCACATCTCATTATTTTATTTTTCAACCTTGATTTTAACTCAATATTATATTGTAACGATGCATCTGAAAGCACCCTTACAAATAGTTATAATTAATTAATCTTAAATAGATAATAGTAATATAATATTGTTACGAGCTTGGGGTTCGAGACAATTAAAAACTGCCGATTGAATTACTAAAATTGACACTTTAATTACAGCACACTAATTACAATTTAAAACGACACTAATAATAAAACACATACGAATAATATAACAAACTAATAATACAACACTAATAACTTTAGTTCGCAGTTATTTCGCTTCGAAGTATTCGCTTGTATCGCCAATTTAATACTCATTCGGTCGTGGTCTATACCGGCCTTATATAGGCCTCAGATAGTTTCTAGAACCTTCTACTATAGCAACATCTAGAATGTTCGAGTACATATCGGTCCCGAAATTTATAGAAGGATCTTGACTCTCCTACTTCTGCTACTCGACACTAGAGGGCGCTCGTTGTAACTAGTGTTGTCATGTACAAGACATTAATAGTGGTGCGCAACACTGCCCCCTCCTAAGACATGCTCGTCCCGAGCATTATTGGCCCCATAATAACGCGCCAGTCGATCCACATAGACAATCTTAGGAATACCTCTTCTAACATCAGTCAGCACCCGCCAGTTTCCCTGCTGCTGCTGGGCGGTGCTGTTAGCCACACTACCCTCTCGAGATCGGTGACCTCCCCTTTCTACAGTTCGCTTAGGGCAGCTGGATCGAAGATGACTCCTTTCCCCACAGCCGTAGCACCTAGGGCTGTATCCTTTATTGCGGTCGCGAACTGGAGCTGCTGAAACCTCCCTGACGCGATGGGAACGATGATCCTGCCACCCGGCTTCCACCTCCAGTGCATGGGCCAGCACCTCCTTAAGCGTCTCGTGCAGCCTCACAGAAGCTCTGACTTCAAGGTTGCGGATGCCGTCGATGAATGTCTGCACCAGGTTCCCTACAATGAGCGCAAGTACAGACTGGTATGCTTTACGAACCAGCTTCTTCACCTCAAGGGCCCACTTCTGCAGGTTTTCGTTGCTGTGTTGTACGCGTTCTTTGAGCTGCGCACGAAAGACGTGTTCCATGTGAGCGTCACCATATCTCGCCTCCAATGCCTCAAAGAGCTGCTCGTAAGTCACTTCCTTACCGCGAGCTTCCAGAACAGTTCTGCCATGACCCATTTCAAGGTTATCCATTATTTGCCGGACATCAGTTATGCTAAGTTAAAATACAAAAAGTACCTAGGTTTTGCCACCCACACCCCACACTTTTTATTTTTTTCCCAGGTAGATAAAAATTACTCTGGGACAAAACCTGCTTACTAGGTGACCACAAAAATTGTCTTTTCTTTGTCCATATTTAAAAAGTACTTTGTAGCTTTGTTTGAAAGTTTTGTGTGAAACACGATTAATAATCGATTGCACTAATCGATATTTGTACATCATGTTTTAGAAAATAAATCTCAATAACCTTTTTTTCTAAAAAATTAAGTGTGTTTTTACATCTAACCTTCACAATGAGTTAAATAAAGTTAAACAAATTCAACAAAGAAATTTGAAAAAAAAAATTAGGTGACAAAAATTACTAACACTTATTAATTTTAAATAATTTTCTGATGACGTACACAGGAATAACACTTCCTTTTTCAACCCTGTTGTTAAAATCTGCAGTGATTACGATGAGATTAAGTGTAGTAACGTTCATCTAGACATATTTGATAGTAGCCTCTTTTGATTCAAAATAAGGTAACGCGTTTGTCTCAATATTTAATATATTTTTAATACATTGATTATTTTTTGGAACAGCTAAGTTTATGCTGCAGTAATATTATTATATTTTTAGAACTTATAACTAGTGTCTGTTTGTGTACAATATTCAATAAAATAAAATAAAAATGAACTTAGTACACAACACAAGATGATAAGTCGTCACAGCATTTTATGGACACCTGCAGTCAATTTTAAGCAAAGAAGGTTATTCATGCGTTGTCACATAACGCGTATTACATATTAGAAAACTTAATAGAGCGATTAGAATTAAATGGCTTATTTAGAATTTCAATAGTATTAATATTTTAACAAAATAGAATAGTAATCAGTATTAATCGTCATTTTCGTCATTTCGAAAATTACTTCTATTATTTGCATATTATAATATTAAAAACTTCTTTATAACGAGTGAAGTATATGCGTTTCTCGGTTATAAAATAACAAATCAATTCTTAAACTATTAAAATAATTAAATATTTTTGTTACTGTTACTGCTATCAAAATGTATCAAAACAATGGAAGCGCTTTTAATACGCTTCATTATTACCATCTTACTTTCATCAACAATTAAACCTGAGTTCTATTCGCTAATCAAATAAAACAAATAGTGAATAAAACTTCAAATAATTTATCTTAAGTGTCATTATGACACTAATAGCAATGACATTTTTTTCATAAGGGTACGTTCGACAAATTTACGGTTGGAAAATGTTTCTACCTGGATTATTTTTTATAAACAATTACAAAAATCATAAATAGTTTGTAGTCGATTATTAGAATTATTAATCGATTAATTGTAGTCGGTTACGCACGTCACTAGTCCATGTCACAAACTCACAAATTATAAAATAAAATAATGTCTTTGGGTCATCGTGGGACGCTCTTGGTTTCGTGCTTTGCAAACTCTTTTTATAAATATTAGTTCCAAAGAGTTACGGATTATTTCGTGGGTTTCCATATCATTGTATGCATTATTAAGATGAAATATTTTATAACTTTGTTTTTTTAATAATTATTTCGTCATTGTTTCAGAAAATGTCTGGCATAGCAAGTGCACGTTTAGCTGAAGAAAGAAAAGCTTGGCGAAAAGACCATCCCTTTGTAAGTAAGCATAGACAGAAAGGGAAATGTTAATTGCTTAGTAAGCGGTTGAGTTTTTTCATTTTTTATTTTCAGGGTTTTGTGGCGAGACCTATGAAAAATCCAGACGGTTCTTTAAATCTCATGACATGGGAATGTGCTATCCCTGGAAAAAAAGGGGTCAGTAAATTGTTTCTTCTAGAAGTTGTATACCGTAATATTTTGTCTTGTTTTATATTAATTAAAAGCATGAATATATAACACTAAAATGATGATATCATAATATAGTTTGTTGAAGTTTTGTATTTAATATTTATGTATTAGACAACTGTTATTGATTTTAAATATCTTGAAGCTATTAAAAAATATTGTCATATAGCCTTGTGATATAAGCCCCTCCAATTGCATTCGTGAATTTGTGGCGTAAGAGGATCCATTACCCCAATTTCTAAACTAAATTATTAATATATTTTATTTTAAAAAATTAAATTTTTTGTCTTTCAGACGCCATGGGAAGGAGGTTTATATAAATTGCGAATGATATTTAAAGATGATTATCCATCTAGCCCTCCAAAATGCAAGTTTGAACCACCTTTGTTTCATCCAAATGTATATCCTTCTGGTACAGTGTGCTTATCATTACTTGATGAGGAAAAAGATTGGCGTCCTGCGATTACCATTAAACAAATACTTCTTGGCATTCAAGATCTTTTAAATGAGCCTAATGTTAAAGATCCTGCACAAGCTGAAGCATATACAATTTACTGGTAAGTATACATAAATATTTTTGTCTGCTTTGTGTTTATAATTATGCTGACTCAATGAGTCAAAGTAGATCATGGCACCCAACACTAAAGAATGTCACCCTTTCATATCCTGTGTTTTTTATCTTCAGTTTAGGGAGTGCAGGTTTTTCTATCTCACCACTCCATTGGTACCTTGGATGCTCAATTGGTTACCAAGAGGTAGTCTCCAAAGCATGTAGTCCAAACATCTTAAAGTGCCTTTTATATGAAGATCTATTTCAATATATGATTTCATGTTCCCTGTTGCTGGTATCGGTTACTGTGGTACATTAATGCTTAAATTTTACTACAGTTACAAGTTGTATCATTATAATAAGGGTTTTTATTTCTGCTTTCCTTAGTTTCCACGCTCTGTTTTCTCACAATTAATTATCATACTAACTTTTGTCATGTTTTAAGAGCATTAACAAACGAGAAAAAAGCTAATAAGGTCAAGAAATAATAAGGTATAAAAAAATATATTGATACAAATCATATGCACTTGATCCCAGCCCAGCTTAGCCCATTCTCTTTGGCAATCCTTCAGGTTATTGTCTTTTACCCAGGTGTTGAAGGTAAACTCCTAGAAGTTGGATGTGATATGTAGCCCAGGGAATTTTTCCACTCTCTTGCCTGGTAAGGCTTGTCTAAAATATGCTGCTGCTTTAGGTAATGGCCCTTAGTATGTTCTATCACTATAGAAAAACAACAATTTAAAGATATTTAAAAGAAGCAAGTGGTAAAATTAAAAAATTTGTACAACCAACTTCAATATAAATAAAATGAGATCAATGTACATACTCAATTAAATATGTATTATAAATAAGGATAATTTAAAAACTACTGGTCAGATCTTGATCAAATTTATATGGGACCAGATGAGAAGCACCAGCTTTCAAATAAATAAAGAATTGAGTACCTCTTCCTTTTTTGAACTCTGTTAAAAAAAAGCTCCCAAAGTTATAATGTTCTGTCCTGTTATTATATTGTTTTTGGTGGGTAAATCTGAGAGACAAATTAATTTCAAGTTGCAGCTAATGTAGCATAATAGTGGAACGGCAAGCTCAGCAAGCCAGTTGGTCTTATTAATACTGCTGTTGAACTAATACAAAATTGCCTGCTTTGTCCTTATTAGCTAACAAGTCCAATGAGGAGTGTCAGATCATCCGCATATTCTCTTTGGAGAATATTTCACTATTAACTCTTTGTTATTATCTTTATTATCTGCATTAATTTGTCGAAAAACCCTAAAAACCGTGTCTAAAAGTGAGTTTGACAATTTTAAGTGAGAGGTGAGGTTTCTTGCTTTCCGTAAACAACTTTGACAGCTATCTTTAATTCAAACTATGTCTCATCTGAATCCTTGTTAATGCCCAAACCTTGAAACCTATTAGTTACTAATAATTATTTAGTAATTGCAATTTGAAAATTTTGCTTGACCCTGTCTTTTTTTTAACTTCTATATGTCTAAGAGAATGTGATTGATTGATACTTCCACATATGGCTCATGGGCTTACATAGCATTATTAAAAACCTCAGTTGATATGTGTGCTTAGGAGTATTGTTTTTATTCATGTTATTTGTGTTGCAAATAGTAGAAACAAACGAGTCTTCACATCCTATCTTTGCGTTAAAATGTCCAGTTACCATTTTAATGTCATAATTTGCTCTATGAATTATGCTGCTGTCAGGTCTTAATAAAAAAGATCTCTCACCTTAATATGTCCAGATAGTTCTAATAGGTATGTAATAATTTTGCTAATCACAAAAGATTTTCCATTTAACAATTATCCAGTCCATTTCTTCTCAGTCAGAAGTATTAAGGATCCTGCAACTTCTATATCGTAATTATTCTCTATTACTTAATCCTTTACTACCCCTTCACTAAAGATAGTATACCTGTCAGACTAGATAGATAGAAATACTAAATCTAAGCTATAAACTTACTGAAAGTACTCAGTAATGAATCAGTGATATAGGCAAAATGCTTCATAGTGGAAGCCTTTATCCAATTTGGCTTCCATCATCGTAATCATATAGCTAAAGCAGTACCTTTTTCTGCCGCTTTTCTTGAATTTAATGTCTCGATCTTGTCTCATTCCGTATTCAGTTGTTTAGTGGGGTTGAGTTACTACTTTAGCTAAAAAAAATTACTGTTACCTTCTTAAAAAAATCTTACAATGGAAGAGATGAAAGATGGATTCTTTTGTAATAATCTTAGGATTTATAGTTTCAATATTCTTAACTCAAGAATTATTATTTTTTTCAGTCAAAATCGGTTAGAATATGACAAACGTGTTCGAGCACAGGCACGTGCCATGGCTGCTACAGAATAAACTTAATATCTTTATAAGTAAGGCACCACGGTTATTCTGCAACAGAACATCATAAATTAAAACACACCAAATAAAACAATTCAGGAAGATTCTGTACTATATTCTTATTATGATAGATGTATAATCTTTTAATAATAAAGTGAGTGTGGAAATTGGTAAGAGTAAGAAGAAAAAGGCAACAAAAGACAAAGTATGCATAATTGAAATAGAATATAGTGTAATTTTTTTCCAATTCTTGTTGTGATGTTTTCCGTGGTTAATTTTTATACACAAACTTTAAATATTTACTGATGGAATTTTGAAATCATCAACCATCAGTTAATATTTAAGTGTGTTATCCTAAAAGAAAACGAATTCAAAACTCCAATTTTAGCATCTTTAAATATCGTTTGTGAGTACTACTCACATTCTAGAATTATGGACTTGTGTAAGTAAGGTTTTATTTATTTGTGAACTACTCACATTTGTCATCATTCTCAGTATTTATTCCAAAATAAACACAAAATAATTGCTTTATTCAGAACAGCTACAAAGACTTTGATTATTAAAATTTGTTTACATGATATGTAAATATGTATATGCACTACTTTTATAACATCAAAAAAAAATAGCAGTTATTATGTTATTGCATACATATGTACTTCAAAGAGAATCTGAATAATTATTTTAACTTTTTGTATCTCTATGTTAGGCTCATAAACAATAAATAATTTTTCTAAAACTACCTATGTTTCTTTCATTTTAATATAAGTAGAGAGAATGTCTGCCACATTGTTTCATTTTATTAGAAACTAATGAATTAGATTGCTAACATCCACTGAGTCGATTTTAAGATATCGATAAAGGTATGAACTAGTAAGAATCTGAGGTTTGTTATAAAAGTTGTCAATCAATTTGTAATAAATCATCATTATCACTATCATCATCATTACACTACTTCACAAGTCCAGTGCTGAACATAGACCTTCGCCTAGGAATGTAATAAAATACAGTCCTGAGCCACCTGCATCCATCGACTTCCTGCATTATCTTAATATGCCGTATATTCAAAGACATTTAAAAGTAGTAGTAATAGACTGAACATCAGCAACAAAATGGTCACCTCTTACTTATGTCCTATAGCATATATTTCTGATTTTTGTCATTTAGTCTTAGTGAAATCGTCAAAAGGTCAAAACCAGTCAAAACACATTTGTTTCCTAAATTTAAAAATATTTTTTAAAGAAATTGTGCCCGATTGTGAGTTGTGACCCAATTGTGCATTAACCGATTCGTTGCGGCACCAATTTTCGACAACTTTTAGCTGTGGCGGCGAACAAATATTTCATGACACGTCGGGCGTGTGAAGCGCCACAGACAGTCTAATTAAGTTTATTAGACATCAAACATAAGTTACAAATGGAAGGATACTTGTTTTTAGTGGGTAACTACGTGTTTTTTTACGCGTTTTCTTTGAAATTGAGAGAAATTAATTTTTTTATGAAGAGATTACAAACCTTTTGTACTATTATTTGTTGTTATAAAAAAATCATTTATATAAGTAGGTACAGCTAAATCACCCTGGAAACCTTGGTTTTTATTAAATTAAATTTTCACCTAATAATAACATTTGTAAATATCAAACAATGAAGAACCTTAATTTGAAAAAAAAAAATAAGGTATACCATTCATTGATATTTACAAATGTTAAATATTATTTAATGTTATACAAATATAAAAGTAAAGTCGATCTGATAACGTCTAATTAGTAAGAATAGCAAAACAAGTGTTTTCAAAAGGAAAAAAACGCCGGCGCTATACGGCGGCGGATTGACAAAAGACTATTTTTTAGAAGCGAACTTTTTTTATGCATGAACGGTTTCGAGCTGTTTCAAGCAAAAATAAACCTTATACCATATCACAAGAGCACATGGTACTTCGTAGGTCTATTCGGCCATATTTTTTTTTTATAGGATCGGGTGACAAACGAGCACAGTCCACCTGATGGTAAGTGGTTACTGTGACCCATAGACATCTACATCTATCCTCAATAAAGACTCAAGATGCAGTTGCGTTCTCACCCGTGAGGACCAAGATGGAATGCCCCCTTGCCAGTAAAAAGGGTCTCCGGTTCTCTACACTCACCATACGAAACACAGCAGCGTTAAGCTGCTATTTTACGCTGGTTTTCTGTGAGAGCGTGGTCCTTCCCCGTTCGAGCCGACCCATTCGTGCTACAACCATAATATAGCTGCAGCATGGCTCTACCACGTACAACGTAATAATAACATTTGTAAATATCAAACAATGAAGAACCTTAATTTGAAAAAAAAAAGTATATCATTCATTGATATTTATAAATGTTAAATATTATTTAATGTTATACAAATGTAAAAGTAAAGTCGATCTGATAACGTCTAATTAGTAAGAATAGCAAAACAAGTGTTTTCAAAAGGAAAAAAACGCCGGCGCTATACGGCGGCGGATTGACAAAAGACTATTTTTTAGAAGCGAACTTTTTTTATGCATGAACGGTTTCGAACTGTTTCAAGCAAAAATAAACCTTATACCATATCACAAGAGCACATGGTACTTCGTATTCGGCCATATGATAGTAAGACGGCAGTTCAACCATTTTAAGCAAAATTAAACAATAAGACAAACGCATTGTTTTTTTAACAGGAGACTTGTTTTCCAGAAATTTATTTACAACTTGAGTTTGTGAGCGATCGCAATGAGTGCTATTATTTGTTACTTATTAGACAATTTTTCCATAACATGATTTAAAACCAACCAAGTAAAAATAGTACCATGTACACATTAAAAAAAGGTTGTCAACCCCTAAAAATTTCAAATTTTCAAAATATCCAGAAACGACGCTGCATGCATGAACTACTCGCAAAATAATGAATATTTTGTGCTGGATAAATTTTCCAAAAAAGCAATTTGAGCGAGTTATAACGATTTTAAAAAAAGACACGACTCTCGTGTCATATGCCACACAGAAAAGTAATCGATGGCACGCCTGGCGTGTCACCCGCACTGAACCGGTTAAGGTATTGTAAGTCCCGATATGTAGCAAAAACCGAATGTGATTTCGGTTTATTATCGCTAGTATAATGTATATTTACCCCATAATTTTTAATTTCTATTATTTGTGGTAGATTGTTTTAGAACATTATTGTAATAAGTGCCCTCTGTTACCCAGTAACGTCATCAAATGAGTTAGTGATTGACACGGTTTATCGATTGGTGCTATCGATAAAAAATATTATACAGGTGAACATTATTGTAATAAGTACCCTCTGTTACCCAGTAGGTAACGTCATCAAATGAGTTAGTGATTGACAATGTTTATAGATTGGTGCTATCGATAAAAAATATTATACAGGTGCAGATTTAATCATCTACAATATTTAAGGAGGTGAAAAAGTAAACGATACGGTACCCATACCAATAAAGAAATTGAGTGGGCCTGTGTCGGGGCTCACGGCTGTTGGTTTTTACGTGAAACGTCTATGTCAGCCAGTACAACCAGTTAACAAGATAGCCTTCTTTATAAAATTTTAATTTAATTCTACAACACCAGGAGAATTGCAGATGCATTGTTGGTCTTTTAAAAAGGAGTAAGCTCGTTTCTTGAAGGTCCCTAAGTCGTATCAGTCCATAAAAATCGCCGATGGTAAACGATTCCTAAGAAAACTCTTAGTAAATCGCACGGTAGTGGACGCCAAGCATCCAAATGATGTGGTTGGTAACGTAAGTTTTATCGCGATGTGTGTTGGTGAAATTTAGTGGCTGGAATTAATCCGAACAATTCCTCCGAGCACTCCCCGTGGTAAATACGATGGAAAATGCAAAAAAGACAACTCGGTCGTCGACGATTAGAGCTGCTCTGTTTTCTATGCAGTCAAGTGGAAGAAGCTCGCACTGGGGAGGCCCGGCCCACATATTCGAGCACTTTGTGTTTTAAAAACACACATTTCAAAAAATCGCGATTTGCAGTAAACTTATTGAACATGTTTATCTATTAGGTAATAATAATAATAATAGTAAGTAATTATTATAAACCCATCTAGTTAATATTATAATAATTACTTACTAGAATAAATTATTATGATATCTTTACCACTATCTAATTACAATATTCCTTTCGAAATCAGCATAATGTATTCGTGTTCATTCTGAGCACCCGGAAACTTATTTTATTCTTTTGAACATGTACACTGTGGCGGCAATCAAACAGTTTCAAATGTTGTACGTGCGGCACGGCGGTGACGATTGTATGCGATATGAATAGAAGCCGCCGGCGCGTGAATCTTGACCTTGTACGAGTACTTCCGAATAGCTGTAAAATTTCTTTGACAGGTCAGGATCCGACCTTTGATGATGCCAACAACAAGACGAAGCACTATGAAAGTGCCGATGGTCAAAACTAGGGATGCACTCTTTTTTCTTTTAATGGATATTTTCACTCGCTATGTATGTTTATGGTATTGTTTGTACTGCGCATAAGTCCAATTTTCCAAAAATTTTTAATATATTTTTTTTGCGTCTCATGGAGTCCCTAAGAGTATACCCGAACTCCTACACTCCCTAAAACGACACTCAGTCCTAACAGCAAGACGCAAGAGTCTCGCAGGCTTAGCCTTGTTCTTGCTCAAATCTTGCAGGGTTAGTCTTGGTCTTGCTAAAATTAGGCGGTCTTGATCTTGCAAAAATGCAAGAACAAGACCATGACTCATTGGATAAAACTACTTTTACGGATTTTATCGCGTTTAATTAACTTATTTTTTCTTATTTTTATTAATTCCCGACGTTTCGGGTGCTTTCCAGCATCCATGGCCACGGGGGACTGAAGTGATTGACGTCCCGATTAGCCGGAGTTAAACCGCAGCACCTTCAGCTTTTTAAATTATTAATTTTGGTTCGATCTACGTAGAATGAACTTACTGTCTTGCAGTGGTATGCTGGGACTTAGTTTTAATTTTATTAATTTCAGGATCAAGCAGGTTGTAGTACCCAGCCTCCCTCTCTATTGAAATTAGGATGTTTTTTAATTTCAATAGCCTCACGTATCATCCTTGATAGAAATCGATGTTCTTTCGCGAGAATTTGTGATTTATCAAATCTAATGTAATGGCGGGGCCGTCCAGAATATGATCACAAACTGCAGACTTCCCGGAACGTTGGTGCTTCACGTCAGCCCGCGTGAAAGAACACATAGCTGACGTGAAGACGGCCTTTTATTATTATTTAACGAACTTTGGAGATTTTTTTAGTTTGCAATGATTTGTAATGATAATAAAATATTCTGAGAAGAGAATAAAATATTCTGAGAAGAGAGAGTCGCTCAGTTGTAATAAAAATTCAAACGACTCTATATATATATATGCGCAAGTAGTTGCACACATCTCCTAGTTCTTCAATTTCTAATTCTATAAGTAAACTTGTATGGCTAAACTTATTTCTAATTTTATACCATTCTTTGCACCAAATTCTTTTTTCTTATCATCGGACATTATTAATTCAGCACCAGCAACTTTTGCAATTTTTCGTCGTTTCGTTGTCATCTTAATATGCACGCACAACTAATCTCGTAGTCGATCTAAAACAAAGTGATGAGTCTGTGTAGTGTATTGTGGCGACAGACATGTCCGGACAAATAGCCAAGCACAAACTAATAAGAAGTGCTAGCTTCGTAGACAGAGAAAACTATAGATTCCTGCTTAACGTGA